CCCCGCGTCTCCGTGTCTCTCCCCGTGTCTTCATGTCCCCGTGTCTCTGTGTCTCTCCCCGCGTCTCCGTGTCCCCGTGTCTCTGTGTCTCTCCCCGCGTCTCCGTGTCCCCGTGTCTCTGTGTCTCTCCCCGCGTCTCCGTGTCCCCGTGTCTCTGTGTCTCTCCCCGCGTCTCCATGTCTCTCCCCATGTCCCCGTGTCCCCGTGTCTCTGTGTCTCTCCCCGCGTCTCCGTGTCTCTCCCCATGTCTTCATGTCCCCATGTCTCTGTGTCTCTCCCCGCGTCTCCGTGTCTCTCCCCGTGTCTTCATGTCCCCGTGTCCTCGTGTCTCTGTGTCTCTCCCCGCGTCTCTCACCGCGTCTCTCCCCGTGTCTCTCCCCGTTTCTCTCCCCGTATCCCCGTGTCTCTGTGTCTCTCCCCGCGTCTCCGTGTCCCCGTGTCTCTGTGTCTCTCCCCGCGTCTTCATGTCCCCGTGTTCCCGTGTCTCTGTGTCTCTCACCGCGTCTCTCCCCGTGTCTCTCCCCGTTTCTCTCCCCGTATCCCCGTGTCTCTGTGTCTCTCCCCGCGTCTTCATGTCCCCGTGTTCCCGTGTCTCTGTGTCTCTCCCCGCGTCTCCGTGTCTCTCCCCGCGTCTTCATGTCCCCGTGTTCCCGTGTCTCTGTGTCTCTCCCCGCGTCTCTCACCGCGTCTCTCCCCGTGTCTCTCCCCGTGTCTCTCCCCGTCTCTCGCCCCGTATCCCCGTGTCTCTGTGTCTCTCCCCGCGTCTCTCCCCGTTTCTCTCCCCGTATCCCCGTGTCTCTGTGTCTCTCCCCGTGTCTCTCCCCGTTTCTCTCCCCGTATCCCCGTGTCTCTGTGTCTCTCCCCGCGTCTCCGTGTCCCCGTGTCTCTGTGTCTCTCCCCGCGTCTTCATGTCCCCGTGTTCCCGTGTCTCTGTGTCTCTCCCCGCGTCTCTCACCGCGTCTCTCCCCGTGTCTCTCCCCGTGTCTCTCCCCGTCTCTCGCCCCGTGTCCCCGTGTCTCTCCCTGTGTCCCCGTGTCTCTCCCTGTGTCCCCGTGTCTCCGTGTCTCCGCGTCTCCGTGTCTCTCCCCGTGTCTCCGCGTCTCTGCAGTCAGCCGAAGGTGCTCTCGCCGCTGTAGGCCACGTACAGGAACCCGTCCTCATCCTTGTGATCCTCGTACAGCTGGCCCATGCTCAGACTGCGGACACATGGAGGAGAGACAAAGACGGCCGGGGAGGAGGTGGGGGGGCATGGGAGTGACAGAGACCCATAGACTCATCACACAGAGACCCGTAGACTTATCACACAGAGACCCATAGACTCACACAGAGACCCATAGACTCCCCACACAGAGACCCATAGACTCATCACACAGAGACCCATAGACTCACCACACAGAGACCCATAGACTCACCACACAGAGACCCATAGACTCCCCACACAGAGACCCATAGACTCATCACACAGAGACCCATAGACTCCCCACACAGAGACCCATAGACTCATCACACAGAGACCCAAAGACTCACCACACAGAGACCCATAGACTCACCACACTAAAAACCATAAACTCACACAGAGACCCATAGACTCACACAGAGACCCATAAACTCCCCACACAGAGACACATAGACACACCACACAGAGACCCACAGACTCATCACACAGAGACCCATAGACTCACACAGAGACCCATAGACTCACCACACAGAGACCCATAGACTCACCACACAGATACCCATAGACTCACCACACCACACAGAAAACCATAGACTCACACAAAGACCCATAGACTCACACAGAGACCCATAAACTCCCCACACAGAGACCCATAGCCCCCTCGATCCGGCCGAACAAAAGCTGTTTAGGCATGCGGTGGCTGGGCATGTGGGCTACATGACCCAGCCAACACAGCCTTGCCTGCCGGAGGAGCTCACCAATGGGACTTTGCCCAGATCTTTCATGGATTTGTGAGCTCCTCTCACAATCCAGCCTGCAAGTCAAACCCAGGATGGATCGTAGGCAGGCCAGCCCCGGCACGCACGCACGCACACACCCACACGCACACACACACACACGCACACACACACACACGCACATACACACACGCACGCACACACACACACACGCACACACGCACACACCCACACGCACGCACACACACACACACGCACACAGACACACACACGCACATACACACACACGCACACGCACGCACACACACGCACACGCACACACGTGCGTGCGTGTGCGTGCGCGTACCTCGACTGTGGCACCGTATTGTCTATGAAGAGGAAGATTGCGCTCTCCGCTGCGAGCTGGATCTTCATGCGCACTATCCACATGAACTGGGCGATGGTGATGTCGGACAGCACCAGGTACTTGCGCTTGTCGATGTCTCCGATGTGGGAGCCAGCGACCTTCTCAACGATCACCTTCAAGAGGTGCCGGGGACGGTGGGGGGTCAAGGGGGGTGAGCCACAAACTCATCACACAGCAGAGACCCATAGACTCATCACACAGCAGAGAGCCATGGACTCATCACACAGCAGAGAGCCATGGACTCATCACACAGCAGAGACCCATAGACTCATCACACAGCAGAGAGCCATAGACTCATCACACAGCAGAGAGCCATAGACTCATCACACAGCAGAGAGCCATAGACTCATCACACAGCAGAGACCCATAGACTCATCACACAGCAGAGAGCCATAGACTCATCACACAGCAAAGAGCCATAGACTCATCACACAGCAGAGAGCCACAGACTCATCACACAGCAGAGACCCACAGACTCATCACACAGCAGAAACCCACAGACTCATCACACAGCAGAGAGCCATAGACTCATCACACAACAGAGACCCACAGACTCATCACACAGCAGAGAGCCGTAGACTCACCACACAACAGAGACCCATAGACTCATCACACAGCAGAGAGCCGTAGACTCATCACAGAGCAGAGACCCATAGACTCATCACACAGCAGAGAGCCATAGACTCATCACACAGCAGAGACCCATAGACTCATCACACAGCAGAGACCCATAGACTCACCACACAACAGTGACCCATAGACTCATCACACAGCAGAAACCCACAGACTCATCACACAGCAGAAACCCACAGACTCATCACACAGCAGAGAGCCATAGACTCATCACACAGCAGAGAGCCATAGACTCATCACACAGCAGAGACCCACAGACTCATCACACAGCAGAGAGCCGTAGACTCATCACAGAGAGCCATAGACTCATCACACAGCAGAGAGCCATAGACTCATCACACAGCAGAGACCCATAGACTCATCACACAGCAGAGACCCACAGACTCATCACACAGCAGAGACCCACAGACTCATCACACAACAGAGACCCACAGACTCATCACACAGCAGAGACCCATAGACTCATCACACAGCAGAGACCCACAGACTCATCACACAGCAGAGAGCCATAGACTCATCACACAGCAGAGACCCACAGACTCATCACACAGCAGAGACCAATAGACTCATCACACAGCAGAGAGCCATAGACTCATCACACAGCAGAGAGCCATAGACTCATCACACAGCAGAGACCCATAGACTCATCACACAGCAGAGAGCCATAGACTCATCACACAGCAGAGAGCTATAGACTCATCACACAGCAGAGAGCCATAAACTCATCACACAGCAGAGACCCATAGACTCATCACACAACAGAGACCCACAGACTCATCACATAGCAGAGACCCATAGACTCATCACACAGCAGAGAGCCATAGACTCATCACACAGCAGAGACCCAGAGACTCATCACACAGCAGAGAGCCATAGACTCATCACACAGCAGAGAGCCATAGACTCATCACACAGCAGAGACCCATAGACTCATCACACAGCAGAGAGCCATAGACTCATCACACAGCAGAGAGCCATAAACTCATCACACAGCAGAGACCCATAGACTCATCACACAACAGAGACCCACAGACTCATCACACAGCAGAGACCCATAGACTCATCACACAGCAGAGACCCATAGACTCATCACACAGCAGAGACCCATAGACTCATCACACAGCAGAGACCCATAGACTCATCACACAACAGAGACCCACAGACTCATCACACAGCAGAGACCCATAGACTCATCACACAACAGAGACCACAGACTCATCACACAGCAGAGACCCATAGACTCATCACACAGCAGAGACCCATAGACTCATCACACAGCAGAGACCCACAGACTCATCACACAGCAGAGACCCATAGACTCATCACACAGCAGAGGAGCCACAGACTCATCACACAACAGAGACCCACAGACTCATCACACAACAG